TGCAAATTACAAAATACTTGTACATACAAGTATTGGACAAGTATTTGGACAAGTTCAAAGTGATTTGCTTAATATTTAGCACACCTTAAAAACCCATTAATTGCGATAATTTGAAGTAGCTATATTATCTGCCGTTGGGCAAAACATTCAATTATTACCATTTATAAATTACTAAAAACATAAGATTTTAGAGTTTAGGGTTTTTTGCAATTACCTTGCTCAATTAATTATATATTTTAATTTGGTATCCCTCAACATAAAAAACCTTTTATGGTCTACAACTTTTATTTTAATCATTTTTCTTTAGAATGTAAAAAAACGTTTTACAAGCAAACATTTTTTTTGTATCTTTTAAGATTGTTAAAAAAAAGAACAAAGCATAATCAACTGTACATCTTTACGAATTTTCATCAACTATCTCTCATACTATTTAGAATTTAAATAACCGTAGATTTTTGAAAACTATTTACCGAGGTTCTGTGAAATACTTTCTTGTTGCATGGTTAAGTTAAATATTATTTTTTTATGTATATTATGTATATAAAAATGTAATATTAATTACATTTTTAATTAACTAATATTTATTGTTTATTGTACAAATTATCTAAAATGTGTATACATATTTTGTACAAAAAAACGTTTTTGAGAACGATTTCCGGAATGGAAATCAAAAAGTCAAACACAAGTTAATTAAAAATGTGATTCTTATCACAATTACAACCAATAATTGAGGCGTAATCCCATAAAAACATAATATTTACCTCAAACTATTCACCGATAGCTTGGATTAAACAGGTTGTAAATTGAAATTTATGTAAAATATTCCCCTACACAATTCTCTGGGAAAAATATCTACCTTAAATAAATATACCTAACATTTAGGCAAAGAAAAAACCAGTTAAGACCGCAACGTGTTAGCAGGTCGTTAGCACGTTGACCGAAAACGGATCGATATTTATGTACCTAGATATTATTTTAAGTATTAATACCGGCAACATCTATTGGCTTTAAAATGATAGCAAATACAGTGATTTTAAATGATCGATGTTAAAACGTAGGATTGATGTAAAAAATTAAATATATAAAAAAATCAGAATATTGAAAAACCGACAACGCTGCTAAGCCAACAGAGGTGCACTAAACGAACATACACGACTTATATATACAAAATAATAGATTTTCTTGGTGATGCTAAATTACTGCAACGTGAAATGAGTTTAAAATGATGGCGTTGATGTATATATATATATAAATATATATATATATTATATATATATATATATATATATATATTTGATGTTAGGTTACCTTCTTGTAATCGGTAGATATCAAGGAGAACATCTTCAGAAGTTTGCAGCCGTTTGTAAGGTTTGTCCTGATTTTTGTCGAGATATTCACTACTCTTCTGGTATAGGAGTTGCAGTAGCGCTGTTAATTTTAAACCCATCGGGGATCTTTCTGGTTGCGCAATGGACTTTCTGATACAAGTGACACCATCGAGAGTACCCATTTAAATTTATTTCTTTAATCGAACATCGTAGTTGTTTAAATTCATTATTCGATTGAAGAACAAGTCGCCAAGCATTTCAACGAGATTTCTCGCTCCAACTGAAGGGTGCCTTTAGTGAGTTGTTGGACAGCTGGCTCGAAGATTTTTGGAACAGTATTCGGCACGTCTGGTTCTAATTTTACAACAACAGCTTCTGTGATCTTAGATCAGGCTGGTAGTAAAACATTTTCAACGCAGATGTGACATATTGTTACACTACATTCTGATAACTACAACACTACTTTTTTATCTTAAATTTGAAAATAGTTTATTTTGAAATCCAAATACTACATAGTCTAGCAAATACTAACATTATTTACAATATCAGCTACCAGCACACGATGTATGGTTTTTTGCCCTCCGATCAGCAACTCCACGTCCTTACAACCATGGATTGGAGCTATTGTTCGGTTTCGGTTGTTACAGTATAAAACAGATATCATTCTTGAATGGAGTATAGTGTGTGAGTTGCACCAGTATTATTTGTTATTTAACAAATTTTTCCATTAAGCTTATCAGAATTTATAAGACTTTTTTCCGTTATGCTAAAGTTGCAAAACTTAGCTACTGCGGTATTGTACTCGTTTCCCTGTTCATTTTCCGGAGGCGCCTAAGACCGACATTGACTTCTACGATGATCTACTTCTCTACAATTCCAACATCTAAAAGTGGTTGAACGACTGTTGCAGCTTCTTTTTTTCTGTTTGATTGAGAAAACCTCTAAATCTTGCTAGAACCTTACCAAGTTTTTCATTATCGCCTAAGCTTGACGAATAATTATTATATGACTTTTTGAGAAAGTTTTGGTTACATCCTACTCTAATCCATAAGCCAATATGTCAGTTTTATTTCTAGCCATTCGCAATCCTGCTGTATTTGGACATCGTTAAGTCTATTTACAAAATTCTAGACGGCTAGTTGTTATAGAAAATCGTCTGCGGCAGTAGGATAGGATAGAAATAAGAAGTGCTATATCGACTTTGAATTTTATAAGAGATTTACCGGATTTCTGCTCTCTGGACCTTAACCAAGTTTGATACACTTCAAACTTCTTGTTTGCAAAACAGTCATAGCTTTATATCAAAGGGAAACTACAAGTGAAGTGGCCTTTTTTTCATCAGACCACGAATTGGCTTTTTTAGCTGGCAGAAACTGTTTCAGATTAACTGACCAACTAGTCGTACCTACCATCTAATGTTGGTGGTTTAATTTTAGCTGGGAAAAATGACGTGTGAATTGAGGAATAGTTGTAACACTTGCCTAAATCATTATTTTGGCTACATCTTATTTCAATTTGTGGTGCAATTCCTGCATCTCTGTTCGCAGTTGCGAGGTATTTTTATTCACAGTCTCTTGTATCCCTGTGTGAAGTTGCGTTGTAGTCTCAGTAGCGGCTTTTTGTATTTCTGTACGCAGTTGTATGGTGGTATCACACACACTGCATGTTCTGCAAGTTCTAAATTGGTTTCATGTATCCTCATATCGAGCCTTGCTAATTTGAGAAACATGTCTTATTTAAGACCATTTAGCTGTTTCGTGATTGTAGCTTGGTTTTTATTTATTCCGGTCTAGTTTTTGGTCATCTTTCTTGTTAAATTATTTTTCATTGTAGTAATTAGACCCTGAAGCATGCAAAGTAATAAAGGATCTTGAGAGGTAGGACCTACTAGAACATCTCCAGATTCCGTCAGCAAATCGTTTTAATCCCTGTTCTGAGCTCGACCACTAAGATGTCCCACTTCTAAGACCAATTTGTACCGTGGGCTTACGTTAAATACATGGATCACGAACTTCAAACTATTTTAAAAATATACATATACAGAACTATCTAACTGACAAATCAAAATTAATTAAATGAATCTTCCAACCACCTCCACATTCAACTGTGTCTTCGTGTACATTCTATAAACATGTCATCCTACGACACTTCTGGTTTAAGAATGTTTTCAAATACCAACAGCTGTCACACTGTTTCGGTTGTAACTATATATGGACAAAAAGATGCAACACTCTGAACGACAAAAATATATTTTAATATATATATATATATATATATATATATATATATATATATATATATATATATATATATATATATATATATATGGAAGGATACCTTCTAATATTCTTATTATTTGATCACATTATAAACAAATTTGTAACGTCATTTTCGTCAAAAAATTAATGATGAATGGCTCCTCCTTGGTTTTCTATACGCTCAATTCCTCTTTGGGGGCATTGATCGAATTAGTGGTCTATATAATATTGCGGGATATTAATACAGATTCTTCTTATGGAATGCCGCAGATCTTCTAAGTTTGCTGAGGACGTGGCAATCGCTTTAGGTTTCGAGCTACCTTATTATACACACAAATCACTGATCTTGGAGGCCATTCCAAAATCTCTACACCAATGCTTGTATAAACTTTATGGTTTTACGGGCAATATGAGATCTTGCGTTATCCTGTTAAAGATGGTATTTGGAATGGTTTGTAGGTAAAGATACCCGGTAAAAACCGGTTGCAGTACTTCACCAATATATTGTGGAGTTGTCCCCATATCATAATGCTTGGTTGGCTGTCTTGCTGTGTGACGTTCAACAGCCAAGTCTATATTTCGTCTCTCACCTCGAAAAAGTCTTATCCTTATATACCCATCAGAGTTACCCAAACTAAACCTAGATTCATTACTAAAGCACACAAAATAAAACTGGCCATTTCAGTTTTGCCGTGCTCTACACCATTTTAAGTGTCAAACTTTATACTGTGTTAAATGAAACATTAAAAGCGGATGGTAAGCCCTCAGTCCCATTACAAGTAATTTTTAATAAACTGTTCTTCTTAAGACTACGCTTTCTGTAGCTGCAACTAAATCATCTCTTACTTTATGTACACTGTCCCGTCTATTTCTGAGAGCAAGAAGTCTATGATGGCGCAAATTATGGCCTTGCAAAATTCTAGGACGCCCAGACCTTCCACGATGCTGATAAATCTTATCATTGGACCTCCTTCTCCAAACTCTTAACACTGGTAATAGTCATTCGTAGTTCGAAGTTGCTTTAATCACGAAATTTCCGATGACCGCAAACTCTTGCATTAAAAATTTGTTTAGTCTGGTTGTCTAAACCAGAAACAATTCAAAATAACTAAAAATTACAAATCAACAAAAGTTAAATACACAGAAAGAAATAAACTTTCTTATCTTTCTGATTTTGCGAAAAAAAAAAAAAACTTCAGTTACAGAAAAGATAGCGAGTTAAAATACAAAGATTATTAATCCAAATAATTAGTCGTACACAAACTGTTGCATTTTTTTTGGCCATCAGTATATTAAAATTTTTCTGTTTCTTTGTTTAATGAAATTTATGGTTTTTTTTGCTAAATAACTTCTTACTTACTAAACATGATACCCTTTTATCCAATATTTTATGTAAAATATTTTACTTTCTTACCATGTATCCTATACCATCATCGGTACCAGCATCCATGGGATATAGGTTGTACGAGTAGGATTCGGCCCAAGTACAATCGGCTTGACACAATTCGAAATTGGCAACTCCAACAAACCAATCGGGCGATGGAGTAATTTTGGATGCAAGGGTGACCATGTGGTTGTTGCTGTCAACCCGAAATACTGAATATGAAGATTCTGTTATGTTTGGATGTTGAAGACCTCTAGCTTTAATAATCGTTCGTATGTTAGTTCCCTAAAATTTGAAAAATGCCTTATTAATAAATGAAATAAAAATAGTTTTATACCTATCTATAGATGAAGCAGTTTGCTTGATTAAAATTGATTAAACTTCCTGTTAACAAAATATATAAATATAAAAAAACTGTTTTCAATTTATACTGTATTTATTTTGCTAAATATCTTATTGGGATGTTTAAGCTTAATTGCATACTTTCTAATTTAATAAAAAGAGATATAAGCAATCAAAACCAAGACGAACAACAGATGATAAAAGAAAAGTAAAGAGGCTATCTAATAAAGCCAAACAATTCGGGAACTGTAAAATATACAAGAAAACTCTTACTGATTGCAATAAAAAGACAAGAAAAGCAAAAAGGAAATATTAAGGGAGGTCCTGCCAGAGTATTTCAGCTAGCACTAGAATTCACTAGATTCTTTCCAAGGATCCAGCATAAGGACCAGGCCTACTTAAGTTCTGACGGCACCTTGCCAAAGCTAAAAAGAAAATGCTATAGATTTTATTGTAAAACCAATTTTCAAGTTCAATAATTGATAATAAGCATACTTAAGCTAAAACCGTAGAACGACCTAAACATCCTAGGAAAGAAAACTGTTAATTCTATGCAAAATATTTAAAACGGATAACGTAAAATGGACCATAAACCACTTTGCTCCATTTAAATCTACAGGAGAAGATAGAATATTTCCTGTCCTACTACAAAGGATTGAACCTTATTGCCCATCTTAACAAAAGTCTTGCAACGTCGAGAACATCAAGGACTGGGTAAGAAAGATAAGGGTATAGAATGGAACGTTTATATAAGCCGAATTACGTCAGAGTAGTAAAGACGGCAAGAGAGGGCTGCCCAATAGGAAGACCACCATTAGGAAGACCACCTAAACAATGAAACGATAACTTACTGGAGGCACATCAAAAAACAGACAGACTCATGCCTAGAGAAAAAGAAGAAGACGAACAAAAATCTTTAGGACTAGCATAGCACTAAGTTATATACCAAAAACTTCGACTACTGTAGCGGTAGTGTCCATACATAAAAGAGGACGGATAACGCCCTATCCAAATCCTACAGTCCGATCAGTCTAACATCATTTCTATTGAGACAATAAAAAAAAAAATTTATAGACATATTAAGGAGGAGCCATTTAGGGTACATCCTTTCAGTGGCAATCAACATGAATATCCAAAAGAAAATCAACTAAAATAGCACTGAGTGAAGTAGTTTAGTAAATCAGTCAGTTAATAATGAAGAATGCTATGTTAGATATGCATTAATATTCCCTTTATAATGCAGCAGCACCAAAAGGGATATCCGCTACCGTATGCAACTGGATCAAAGCAATGCTAGAAAATAGGCTGATTTTAACAAACCTACAAGTAGTGAAAATTGTGTACAAATCAGCAAAGGGGTGCTTACAGGGGGAAGTGGAGTCCCCTTTCTGCGTGGAGAAAAAAAAAATTAGTAAAAGTAGACTTATGATAACTTGTTGCTTTATATCTTTTGCTTTTTAAAACTATTACATCTTTTTTCATTTAGTTGAATTTCTGCTACAACACTTTTATAATTTCTCATATAATGTATTCTTTATAAGTTCTCGTAGTACTTAAGTATGATATTTCTAAGTTTATTAAGCATGTATCTATCGTTTCTTTCTACTGTATCGAAAGCTGCTCATAATTAAGATATAGCTGTTCTATTGTTTCTACGTTCCTCTCCATAATATTTTAATTGTTTATATTGTCATTCAACCCCCTCTGTAGCTCAGTGGTAAGAGCGCCTACCTTTAAAACTAAAGGTCGTGAGTTCGAATCTCATCTGTGTGGAGAAATTTTCGTTTATTAAAAATTAATGAATGAAAATAATTTCTATCCTTGTGCGATCGGTACTCACCGGAGGGACCGCAGACGTTCGGATACAATTAGCGTCTCTTAGCAAAGACAATGACGTCGACTTTGCTAAGTATCAAGACAATTACTCTACATACACACACACACTACACTAGGTACCTGACTGTACCATGCCAATGATCTTAGTTGTCGAGGCATTAACTCAATAATATATTGTCATTCGTTAGTTTTCCTTTCATTACAACAAGTTTTTATTCCCTATTTTATTTTCTATCATTTGCCTTAAGTCTTTGTTTCTCTAATCTTGTAATATACTTGTATCTCTATAATTATGGTATTGATATTGTTCTTCTTTTTATGTAGGGGATTAAGAGGAAATTTTCTATTTTCTATTTTACTAGAATCTTCCTTGTCTTTTCTGCCATGTCTGGTTATATTCCATCAGCACCGCAGTTTTTCCTACTTTAATTCATTTTAATGTATCTTCTACTTATTATTTTTAGATCTTTAGATTATTGGACTCCTTTCTCCTTTTATTTATTTTTTAATACTTAGTCCCTTTTATAAAGGATTTTAATAAATGTTTTTTATTTTTTTGTCTCTATTGTGTTTGTTATGTTTAGTCTCTTATCATAAAATTTTTCTGCAACCTTTCCATATTTTAAAGATATCATCTATTTTGGTTTTAAGTTAATTTCTATTATTTATAATTAATTGATTAATTGCAATTTTAATTAATAACTAATACACAAAGTAATGGAGACCACAAGCTAAACCAAAGTCATAAAATATTCAAATTAGATAGATAAAAAGATGATCTCTAGTAATCAAAAGATATACAGCTGCGGTATGTCAAAAGTGTTTGAACGCTTTATCTGGATAGATTTTTTATTTTTTTACCATTTCTTTTATTTCGTCTTCAACAGATTGTGTCCTTCCTGATTCAGCTAATTCTTTTAACCCTTCACTCGCATAATCTTGCTCATTCCAAAAGGAATGATACTTTCGATGCGATGCTCCAATTATATCACTGAATTTTGTGCTCCATATATCAGAGGGATAATTTCTGGGATGGGTATTCCTAGTCCAACGTCCTTCAAACGCCACCTACAAAAAAGGAATATTTTATTAATACAGAAGTAAAGAACTTAAAATTTGTATATTGGTATAAAAATATTTAATAAACTTTTTTTTGTATTTTGAGAACGATTTCTAAAGTGGAAATTGAAACGTCAATAAACGTACTTTAACCTTAAAAAAAATAATTAAAACTTGTTAAAAGTGTCGTCCAAAATTAGAGATACTGACGATAAAGTCCATACGTTTTCGATCTAGCTCAGATCATCATCAGTGTATTCTTTTGATACTTGTAACTAACACTAAAATTGCATTGGAGACATCAATATATATATTAGCAATGGTTGTAAATGTTAATGCTTAAAGAACAACATGCTTCCTTCCTTAACTTAAACACATGGTTCTTGTTAGTTAAAACGACACACACCAACTCTCGTTTGTCGTAAGTTATATATGTATTGCTTATAGATGAATCCTCTTTAACAGCTTGAACGTCACGAAGAAGATTTTCGTAAATCGCTAAACCCTTTAGATATATCAAGTTTTCTTATGTATTTGTTTTGCATTAAAAAAAAACACATATTTGATACCTAAGAGTATTAAGTTCTGTATTATATATCTTAAGCAGATTGCTTTCAATAATGGCTATGATCCTAACATTATATACAAACTTCTAAATAGAGCCAAACTAAAAATTGCAGAAAAGCTTGCATATTCATCACAGTTTTTTATGCCATATTAATCAACACCAAATATAGGATGAATACACTTGATAAAAGTGGTATTTACAAATTAAAATGTGATGATTGTGATGCCTCTTATGTAGGTAGAACCATCAGAAAGTTATCCACTAGAGTCTCTGAACATTTGAAAAGACCAAATTCTTCAAGTTTTGGTCAACACTTAGTATCCAGCAACCATAATTTTAACATCAATTCTGGTTCATCTATCTTACATGACATTAGTAGAAAGAAAAACTATCTTGAGTTGGATTTATTGGAAGATTTGGAGATTACAAGGGAAACAAATGAAAACTCTCACTGTCTTAATACTCAAATTAATTTAAATTGTACTAAATTTAATCCTATATTTAAAAACTTTATTACAGCTTCACCTCGTAGAAGACCCAGCTCGACTGTTTAGACTTCATGCACTGAGCATTTCAATATTAATTTTAAAGTTCTTCCATTGACTGTGGATTCAACTGAACTACTTGGATTATAACCCATTTATATATTTTGCTTTCAATTTTGATTTTAACTTTTAGTAATTTAACTGCATATTCAGATTTTTCCTTTTTTACAGTACTGATAGCGCTTGGTGGACCATTTTATTGTAGTCAACCATCCACTGTCTAATATATTGTTTAGTCTTTTCTTACATTCATACTTTATGTCAACTTCAATCGCTCTCAAACTAACATCCTAATTATTATAGACAGGTTTGAGTGTGAGATTTGGATTATTCAATCTACATAAAAAATATACTAATTTTATATTTCATCAGTTGATTTCCTATAGTGGTGTCAGTTGGACCTTTGGTCAATATTTAGTTTCATAGAATTTTGAAAGGTGCAGATCACATAACTGCCCTTTACAAGCTGTCATTTGTCACATGTCATCTCAACATTTCCGCTAGACCGGGAGCCCATTCTGTCTCCGGTTTCTATATAACATGTAGCTTCTCCTTTTAAAAATTTTAAAGTGTTTGTTTGTCTTTGTGTATTGTATTGTTATGTCCAAATTTACATTTATGACATTCTACTCATGTCGGATAGGCCACAACTGACGAAGTAAGTCTATAAACGTTTATCACATAAAAACTTTTTTCAACCATAAACTTGGAGTTTTTTATCCAAGTGAATTAATTTTCCTTCTTATAAAAAAACGTTTCTTGGCTTATTTCAGATGCCCCTGAAGATGATCTATTGATCGAAAGTACTTGGGCAAGATTTAATTAATCACTGTGTTCGATAGTTGCCTTGTATACTATCAAAGTTTAATTATTCGAACATTCAACCTTATATTGAATTTTCTCTTACCAGCACGAGCCGCTCTCGCTTCCTTGAAGGTTATATCTTTGAAGGGATCAATATGTCTCTGATACTCACAGAAATATTTTTCTTGTACCAATTTTGCAGTAGTGTTCCATATGGTTTTAATAACACTCTCCTTGTAATCACTACCATCAATTTTTCGCATGTTGAAGGCCCAGTCTTTTAGAATTAATGCTAGTCTTTCGTTGTTATTTTCTGCATCTAATTTGTAGTTGCGATCCACACAGAACATCATAAATTGTCTCCATATATAAGATTTAGATTTTCTTGTGTTACTCGGTATATTTTCTTCAATGTTTTGGTTTATAAGTTCGTTTGAAGTACAACCGAAACGACTCATTTTGACGTATACAGCTACAATAATTTTTTTGGCAAACGTCAAACTTTGCTTTGCGATCGGTATCCATGGTTACGTCGTTGAAAACACAAGCTGATAGACCAATCAGAATTGAAAGACAGTTGGTGTTTTCGCGATAACACAAGCTGTCTTTGGTTTGTGATTGGTCAGATTATGTGAAAATTTTAAGATGTGTGAAATACTCAATACATCGAGTTAGAATCTATGGAGAGGGCATCACGTGACTAAAAACGACCTCACTTCGGCCATATTGTTAATATTGTTTTGAAACTTTTGACAGATCGTATATGTTTGTTTACATTTGTTGTTTTTCGAATATTTTCAGTTTTATAATACTTTTATAGAAACTGTAATATATTGTGATAGTGCATAATAATGGTTTCTTGTTCTCAACGTAGTTGCAGTAGCAGAAGTAATGTTAATAAAAAATCTTCAGGAATATCGTTCCACAGGTTAGTATACAAATATGTAAACAAAGTAATGGCCCGTACTTCAGAGAGTAAATTAATAGTATTTGACTGTATTAATTTATCTTTATGTATAATATATCGTGTTTTTAGTGTTAACCGCGGGATAAATAAATCATAGTTTATTAAATGTATTACACTTTTTTAGATTATGATTAAATCTTCTGAATAACTAGTCATATTTGTATAGTAGTTTTAATATTATTGAGTCTGGCCCTGATGTCACCGCCATATTGGTATTATCGTTAGCCACTCCTACCTACGCCGTTTTTAATACATACGTTAATATGCTCATAGCTTCTCCATAGATTCTAACTCGATGAGCCAATATTATTATATGAAGCTAATACCTGGCCATTAAAAAAATGCAATTTAAAAAGAATCGAGGCTTTCGAACTCTGGTTATACCGCAGAGTATTAAAAATATCATGGACTGATAGAATTACAAATAAAGAAGTACTGGAGAGGGTTGGTAAAGAAATAGAACTAATCATCACTATACAAACCAGAAAACTGGAATACCTAGGGCACGTGATTAGGGGACCAAAATATGAAATTTTGAGGCTCATAATACAGGGAAAGATTCAAGGAAGATCTGATGGCCGAAGGCAGAACTCATGGTTGAAGAATCTACGTGATTGGTATAAATGCAGATCGATTGATTTGTTTAGAGCAGCAAGTTCAAAAATAAAAATAGCCATTATAATTACCAACCTTCGTAGGGAGACGGCACTCTAAGAAGAAGAATCCTCTTTAATATAAATAAACAAAAAAAATCAAATCAAATGGATTTTTTTTAGATATATGCCAGTCAACATTTGCACAAAATATTTGAGTATAAGATTCTCAATTTACCTCGTATTTAGCTTCAGAACAGGCACAACACTTATCAACTGATGGTGGCTTAACATTCTCATCAACCTCATTGTCTTCACATAAAATTTTTGTAAGCTGACCGTCTTCACTAAACCAGTTTTCTCTAGACTCCACCACTGTAGCCTTGATAGCCACACACCCACTATTTTCTGGAGGTGCAGTCCAGTAGACCTAAAAACATAATTTCAATACAATTTCCACAACGTATTTAATGCAAACTTTTTAAGAGATGTAAATATTTAGTTATTAAAAAAAAATCATAGGCTGACAAGTAAAAGATGAAATGATCACAAGTTTACACTGGATAAAAAAAATCTAAAATCTGACAGAGTTTATTTTAACAACAATATAGTTAGGTTATGGTTGCGAAGTGCTGGATTCATTTATCTAATAGATGTTATACAAATTCTTTGATTATTAGACTTCGCACTTTTTATATTACAGAATTTTACATTTGAAGACCTTGGGTGAATAATAAGGAATGTCATTCAATGTTGAATTTAAGAAAATTGAAGTTTAATATTTGTAATTGTGTAACTCATTATTTTTAAGAGATACCTGCGATCTATTTTGAACTTTTTACTGTTAGTCTACTTCTTAGTGAGGTTAATAATAATAAAATGGTATTTATTTTACTTATAGCTTACTCAATATATACTTATAAATAGAATATAAATGGAGTATTTTTTCAAGGTATCTAATCTACATGGTCTACTGTATCTAATCGTTTTAACATATGAACAAGAAAATGCAGATATTTAAACATATTGTAATTTTTATTCTGGTCCCCTACTGAGTCACAAAAAATGTTTACTGTTCTTACTTGTTTGTCCAACTGATTCGCGATAAAGTGATTCACGAAAGATATATCTTCGTTTGAGCCTTTTCTAGCTATGGTATCAGGATAAGTGTAGAACATAGATTTACCGGTAGAAGGCAGATGAATGTTACAAGAAAACATTGACAACTGTCTGCTGTAGTACACATCGTTTGTGCTGATGTATGAAAGTGAAATTTTTTTGGTAGTCGATGAAAAGAAGTTTATATCCCTTGCCATGCATAACAAACCTTTTTGCCTTCTTTTTTCGGTTATAAAAAACCTGGGCCTTTAATTAGTTAAGGTTGTTTTCTGTATATAAACATTTTAATTTACTTTATTATTCGGAATTGTGTTCTTGTTTCTGTAGAGAAGTGACTTCAGCCAGGTGTTTATCACACTCACTGTATATATCTGACCTCGGAAAACCACAAAACATTAAAATTATGAAATTATCGTCAATACCTGTTATATGCAATCAACAATCAGAACCTAAGAATTTTTCTTGGAATATTTCGTAGATTTTTTTACAATAAACTCTTCAGAAAGGTAAATTTTAGGTGACTTTTTATCAGTATAATGGCATGATCTGCTTCAAGTACATTCTTTTGGAATCTTTAGTAATATTACTTAGTTTATGTGGCCGATTGAAGTGCTTACCTCTTAGATCAGAGGGAGCAGCGCCGTTCATTTTAAGCCCTCTTTGAATATACTCAACTTTTCTCTTAGTGATGCCGTATATTGAGCAATATGCTTTGAAACTAGCAGGTATCTTTTGCATTTGAGCATCTCTCAAAATCCTAACCATATAACCAAAAGAACAGTCGTGATGTCTCGCTATCTAGGAATTGGGCTGCCTAAAACGTCTTTGTGCGATCATTTTGATCAAGATTAGACCTGAGATATGGGAGTTCTCTTTATCACTTAAATATAGAACATTAAAATCATACAGCAGTTTAATTCTTGCGCTTTCGGTTACATTTTCATATTTTAAAGGCTTACAATTACAGCTGTCACCTCTCTCATGACTCTGCAGACGAAGCTTTCGTACGACATTATTCATTCGTTCTTTAGATTCTTCCTTTTGTTTTGTTGATTTCACGTCTTCATCACTACTTGACATTTTTAACACCTAATGACTTATTACAGTAAATAAGCATCACTATTCAAACTAACACGGCACACAATAACCTCTAAAACAACAAAATCCAAAATGACTAACAAAAGAAAAACACGTGTCTCGTACTGGCGCTGTGCCCGTGACTGACATTCCTTGTTATACTTACAAATTTTCTTCGGACATTTCTGGTGTTTAGCAAGTATAATAAAACTTTATCGTCGACTTTCAACTGACATCGTTTGTTATTGCCAACCCATAACTTGTGCATCACAAACTTTGCTTGTTTCTCCGTCAGATGGCATCATTACTTTAATTTGAGACAAAAATGTACATTCCTTGTTTTTGATCCGAAATATAAGCACACTAAATTTGATGTCTTGATTTGCATCTTGGAACATATTCTCAATATTCTACAAAGAATACAAACTATATTGTTTTGTACCTGCCAATAAAAAAATCTAATACTTCAAGTTTGGCTGCCGCATTCATAATTACAATTCAGCATATTATTGATTTTATAGTAACGTGTTATAGATTTTAAGGAAAAAATTAAACGATCTCAATATTTTTGAGGTGTCCACAAGGAATCTACTTCCTGTAGTTGGCTGTATACCATATATTAAAAAATTTAATTAAAAAACCTTTATAAAAGGTATATATTTAAAAACCCTAACGGACTAATTAAACAAAACGTTTTCGGAATCCATATTCCATCATCAGTGTCTAGGAGTACATGAATGTAGCCACTAAATATATGGGTAAAAACCCGTTAACAAATAATTAGTTACATTTGGTATACAATATTTCTTATAATATGTTAAGATGTTAAAGTTACCGTTGGATAAGGTAACATGGCGACATATGACTCCACGTTGAAGTTGCTAGTCCTGAGACGGTGTGTCTACAAGGACTGTATGCTTGACTTGCTTCCATAATATAAGAAAACCTGTCAGAAAAACACTAATAGCATAACATTTGTCTTAAAAAAAATATTTCTAGTTATAACAGTAAATTATCTTGTTAATATTCTCTTGTAAGTCATAAACAAAAATTAAGAAAAAACTTATCGCACTATAAGTACCTTGACATGATAAGTATTCGGTCTTAAATTTAGTTTAGTTTTAATATTAACAACAAATTCTAATTTTATATGTTAATATTTTTAAACCATACATAATCTATATATACTTTTAATTTATTTATTATGCTATTCTTCTTTAAATGACTCTTCTTTTAATATTTTTAACTTTCTTGTTGACGCTCCGTTGAGACGACGAAGACCAACTTTCTTACCAACTGGCACGTGGCCACTCAGGCTGTCAAGGTGTGATCGGACAATTTTCTTTGGCAATGTTGCCACCGAATTTCTGCCATTCTATAATACGGTTTCTATATTCTTTTCTTCTGTTTAGTTGTACCTCTTCTGTTTATATAATTCTTATCTTAAATGTCACATATTGCTCTTACTTCTTCATTACTTTTATGGTTATTAGTATAATACAATTGGTCCAAAAAAAGACCTGACCCCATCATCCGAAGAAAAAGTTTTTCTGCAACACCAAATTGTTGCTAAAACTATGCGGTTTAGAGTAAAAAATATTTCATACAAAAATATTTTACATTAAAGTCGAAACAAAAAAGGTCCGATGTATAATCCTACTAAAACAAACTGTTCCAAAGTTACGAAGGGTGTACATGTAGGCTATGCTACATAAAATTACGCAAAATTAATACGTTTTCTTAATATATAAGTATAAATTAAGTTCTTAAAAAAATCACAGCATGCGATTTGTCTTTAAAAAGATAACTACATGTCATAATGACAGTAAAATTCTCCTGTTAGTGATTCCATGGTAATTTTTTTTTTTCTTAACTTAAAGTTATTTCATGTAATCAAATGAACTATCTTACAACAAAGTCGTCCCAGGAACGCAACTCAGCTATAATGGCAATATCATTTTAAAGTCGTCCACTTTCAAATGTATAATATATGTCTGAATTGTCAATGTAAGTTAGTCAGATAAAATTAAATTATTAAAAGAATTTTCACCAAGTAACAAAAATCAAAATTTGTTTAATTTATTAGTGTTTGTATTTTCAGAAAGAATTTGGAATTGGTAAATAAAACGGCAATAAAGTTATTTTAATTTTCAGTTGTGGCATTATTCCCATTAAAATAGAAATTATTATCTACAATTATTCATATAATTTATAGGACCATTATAATTTATAGGATTTATAGATAGAAAAACTTTTAAAATAATGTATTAGTATTTATATTAAATTGCATTTAATGAAAATTTTTATAATAATCTGTTTAAAAAATAATAATACCTGTACTTCCCATTTTGGCAATTTGCTATTTTCTACAACTGTGTTTGGACATCTGTCACTAAACTGAGAGAGAATCTGAGCTCCCATTTCAAATTCAAATTGTCCTGTAGGGTGATAAGATTGTGCTGTAGATTTTCCATCGACTGATTCCAAAGTTAAGAAAAATTGTCGAAACGCTTTCTTTGGATATTTAGTAGGATTCACTCTCAACGATACTACAAAAAAAAAACAAAATTAATTTTAACAAATAATAATATTATGATTTTTAATTAATAAACTTAAATAGTGATTAAAAAAATAATTTATATCTTATAGACTAGAGAATATTATACAAAATATTTATAGTAGGTATTTTTAAGAATTTTGAATAATGATGAGTGTAAAAAGTTTTATTTTAATAATTATAATATTATAGATATATTTAAGTGAGCCATCTGCATAGGCAACTAAATATACACTGTATTATAATGACAGAAGAATGAATTTCAACAGAAAGTGACATTTGAATAATAATTACGGATGTAAAAATCGTGTTGAGTATTAAGTTAAGGAGTTTAATTTACATATAAGTTGACATTCTGATCTGAGAAGCCTAAATGTCCATAAAATTCTCGATAGAAGGGTAAAGAATTCTCTAGAAAACGTCAATATAAGAAACTTAACCCTATTTGCGAGGTAGACTATTCGAGAACATTCATATATCTATGAAATAGAACAAATTCGAACATGATTTATTGCTAGAATATTCGGGAACGATGAAAAGATATAAATACGATGTAATTTGGAGCAAGGCGATTAGACAGTTCAAGACAGTTGAGATTAGACAGTTCAAGACAGTTGAGATTAGACAGTTCAAGACAGTATGAGAGTAAATTAGGACAGTGAACAGTATTAAGTTAGATAGTATGAGATTAAATTAAAACAGTTAACAGTTACAGTAAGACAGTATGGAGTTAGTTGATTAAGACAGTTACAGTTGGACAGTGAACAGTTACAGTAAGACAGTATGAGAGTAACAGTGAAACAGTTAGACAGTGCATTCATTAAGCAGTCAATCATTCAGTCAGTTGATCAGTAAATAGTACAAGCAGATAGTATACAGTAGTCAGTACCGATCGATATAAATAACGATCAAAAGTTATTATGAACATAAAAAAGAGAAAACTTGAATACTTAGGCCACCTGATGAGAGGACAAAAGTACACATTCCAACAAAATATAATGCAAGGAAAAATCCAAGGACGCAGAAATCCAGGTCGTAGAATAATGTCCTGGATGAAAAATTTAAAAGAGTGGTTTGGCTGTACCACTAACGAATTATTCAAAACAGCAGTAAATAAAATTAGAATGGCCATAATGATATCCAATCTCCGAAAGAAGAGACCCTCAAAGAAAAGAAGCAGAGGGATACGTAGAAAATTCTTTAAGAAATAATAAGAAATATTAACAGTCTGTTGACTGTCGATCTATGTCATTTTAACTGACAAAAACCACGTGTTCAAGTCGAGCAAAAAAATGTTGCTCTTTAAGTATTAAATTTTTTATAATGTCATTGACCTAGAGTCACACTAAAATTTAAATTTGGAAACATCAAAACTATATATTGATGTCACAACTACGATTTTAGTGTTAGCTTTAATTACAAAAGAAGGCACTGAGGATGATCTGATCTAGATCGAAAACGTCACGTTATGCTCCTGTATAAATTTTGACGACACATTTTAAAAAAGTTTTACTTATATATTTTATACCTAAATACAAATGCGAAGTTTTTACTTCTGTATAAGTCTTTTAAACGATGGTATATAGCCAACTACTGGGATTTTCCCATATTTTTTTTAACTTTAAAGTTTTTAATAAATGTTCATAAGTAAAGTTTATGCATATATTCTTTTCAACATACAAAACGACTGCAGAAAAAATATTGTACGTAACACGATCCAAAAGTAATTTTACGAGACTTGCAGGATCCCAGGACTCGCCAACGGCTGACCCTGGAAACTTCCTAATCGTCTCGTAAAATATCACTTTTGGAACTTGTTACGTAAATTACTATGTACTTTCATTCAAAATTCTGCTCAGTTTAATGTAAAATATTGATTTGAATCAATAAAAATAAAGATTATCAAAAAACAAACACCGTTTTTTGCACCTTAAAAGTGTCATGAAAAATTATAACCAAGAGTTTAGAGCTGCAAACACTTGGAGGTTACTCCAGGCATTGTCCTTTATAAGGTTGTGCTGTTTTCAAAAATTCTATATAACACTAATTTCAAATCAGACTGATTACTTACCATTATATTTTTGATTAGGTGTATAAGTCTTGGGATTTCCTTGAATATAGATTATATATCTGTCTATATCATTTATATTTTTTGGCTTAATTATATCTTCGGGAATAATATCACAGTCTAAGGTGTTAGCGATGCTAATTAGGAATAAAATTCCGATAAATGCAGCCTTAACATACATCATCCTGTAAAAAATACAAAGTAATAAAATATGTAGGTATAATAATTTTTAACAATATTTTAAATGTGCGAACCTTTATAAATAATTACAAGTTTAAAAAGTGAACACATCTTTCAGTACACTATCCAATTATCGAACGCTGGAGATCACATTGTCAATAATAACATTGACAATAATACATTGTAAAAATGATGTGCTCTGGCATGCTTGACAAGTCATAAAATCTGTACCCCGAGGTATGAGCCAGAACACAAAGTGTATCAATACTGAGCGAATCATAAGAGTAATAGTCTGCGAGGCCTCGGATGATGAGCTTTCCGATCCGGATGGCCCCCGGCGTATCTTCTCGTTCAGGGAGTAATGTGTAAAATCGTTTACTGGACGTGTAGATGTGACTCATCAAGCTTTACATGCGGAATGTGCCACTGGTGAAAACAGAAGCTTAATAACCGCAAACCTCACAACATAGCTACACGAGAAAACGAACTATTATGAAGAAGGAACTGGGACGAGTCAGTATTTCTGTAGCCAATCTCTCTGAACTTCATTTCCTTAACGGGGGACGTACATAACTAATTTGGGACATTTCATGTGTCTTTCCGGCAACAATAGCAAAAGTAATAATGATGTTGCTTTTGGGTTTTAAAATCATTTTTTCCTTATATACTGGACTATCGAGCTATCAGTGATCTAATAATTTCCTTAAGACTGGATGGAACCTTATCTGTTATTTATTTGGTTTAGGTATATGCGCCTACTTCAACTGCTAATGATGATACAACTGAATCTTTCTAAATAAAGAAACTGATAAAAATAACGTTTCATAAGGGTAACGGTACGAAGGGACCGAATGAAGTTTGTTCATTTCTCATAAAGTATTATTATAGATACCATGCCATTAGTGAAATATCTTTAGGTTTTCTCTGAGGGTTATGAAGCACAAAATAAAAACCACACTGTTTAGGTTTTTTCCGTTGTGATTTTGCTACAACAATCTAAGACCTTTGACAATTATTTTCCTATTATTAGGGATTATTCCTTCCTACCTTTGATAGGGATTTTGCGGTGATTACAAGAAAATTAGAAAGGAACATATATATACAATGGACGAATATAGACAGCTAATAAAATTTTTAAAATAATATAAAGTATAAGTATAAAAAAGATAATAGCTAGTGACCACAGTACTACAAAAAAACTATGTTATCGGAGAAATCCAGTGGCAAATATATTCCACGGAATCAGAAGTTCAACCAAAATATGCATTTTCACCATTCCTCGAGAACTTAAACTTGGTTATAGCACAGCCTTTTATTAGCGGATTAGCCAATCACACCTTCAGGCTTAACCCATTGATGCCCAATGGGTCGTTAACGACCCATCTAACAAAAAGATGTTCCAAGCAAATATGTCGAATTTGCCAGTCGCCGTTTCTTGACAAGTTTATTCCTGACTATGCAAGTAAGCAGTTTATTTAGTGCAAACTGTTTATTTTACTCGTAGTGGTTGTAGAGTGCACATCAAAATAGAACTCGAATAACGTTCGCAGCATGGCTTCATTGAAAAATTTGTAAGTACAATTAAATAAATCATTTTATTATTTAAAGTCATTTTATCTAGTTAAGCACAGGTTGTGCTAACATATTATAATAATACTAGTATGAAAATAATTTGATATATGCCATAAATATAATGTTACATTTTGATGGGTTGTTAACGACCCGTTGGGCACATGACATATCATACTGAGAAAATGTTTTTTTTAGTAAGAAACCACTATCTACTGCAGAAATTCTGGAGGAAATAGAAAGAATTGAAAATAATGAGGTTATACCGGATGACATATATATTTTGCCTCCAGATAATAATGGTTGGTTAACAGATTCGGATTCTGGAGACGAGAATGTAATGATCCGGATAGACTAAATAGAGGTCAATTGAATCCGGCGCTGAAGTACAATTTCAGAGGGATGAAGAAGACATAGAAAACGAAGTTTTTCAAGAAGTATCTGATTTTAATGTACAACATCCAACAAAGAAAATAAAGAAGACGCCACGAAAATGGTCGAACATTATAAATTTACCAACATTACGTGCGGATTCCGATCATACGAGATTACCAGTTTTAACACTCACTTCTGACAGTAATCCAGTTGAATTTTTTGAATTGGTTATGAGCAGAGAAATAATAGAGTATTTAGATAAAGAAACAACAAATTATGCTGCCTCGAAAAATCATAATATTTCAATAGAAGTTGAAGAATTTTCTGTATTCTTGAGAATTTTAATTTTAAGTGGTTACGTTCCATTACCAAGGCAAAGAATGTATTGGGAAAACTGTGATGATACACATAATATTTTAGTAACGAAATCTATCAGACGGAATAGATTTGAAGGTCTAATCTTGGCAAAAGGCCAAGATTAGACCTTTGCACCCATTGAAAATCAAATTTCTATAGACGAATCTTTTTTTTTTTTTTTTTTTTTTTCGTCTTTATAGAGGGGGGGTCTGGAATCTTCAAAAGATATCTCAGTCCAGGACGCCGCCTGACTGACCTTAGTGCAGGATTCGTTCTTCGTACTCCCGGCGATAGTTCCCGAGGTACTTTAAAATGCCCTCTCGTCGCCGAGTCTACGCCGAACGCCTACCTGCTAAACCAGACCCTCCTCTGTCATCCAGCGATCCGGAAGCGGAATGGCCGCTGTAAGGCCGGCATCACTTCCGAAGCACTACCTTTATTCATTCATTCTCCATTCATACACATTCACACTCCTAGTTCGGCATCATTCTCAGAAGGATATTTCCTCTTTCCCCACAGTCATACTCACGCATTCTAACTCAAAAAGTGTGACCCACTTCACCTTTCAGCATCATTCACTCTACCTTTGCCGTTGGTTCAGCTGTCTTTCTTCCTCTTCCTTTTTTTTGATCACTGCACGGATATAACTGTGTATGTTAATCCAACCTAATTTATTTTCAATCATTCTCTCAATCATTTCTCTCACTGTAACAAAATTCACACCTGTCTCTCTCTCCATTCTGTTCCTTTCCACTATCCATCTGCTGCAATCTAACATCGTATGTGTCACAGTGTCCGAATATCCACAATACAGGCATTCATCTGTATCAGCCTTACCGATCCTATAAAGGTATGCCCTAAAACACCCGTGTCCTGTGAGCACCTGCGTCAGGAAATAATCCAATCGCCTGTGGTCACAGTCCACCCAAACTCTTATGTTAGGGATCAGAATTTTCGTCCACTGTGACACATCCTCCGTATTGTTCCATTCTTCTTGCCATCTTTCAACTGACCTTTCCCTTACCTGTCTTTTCTCAGCCACAGTAAGGTTTGGGCCTCTTCTCTCATAAAGCTCTTTTCTTTCCACCGCCAAAATATGCAACGGAACACATCCAGTGATGGTCCATAAGGCTGCCGCAGACACAGTCCTGTAGGCGCATGCTACTCGCAACAGACTTGTTCTGTCTACTCGTTTCATAAGACTCCTATAGGCCGTTATCTCTACCGCCTCGCTCCAGACTGGTGCTGCGTAGAGAACGATAGACTGTACAACACCGTGTAAGGCCCTCCTCCTTTCGGATTTGGGTCCTCCAATGTTCGGCATTACTCTCCCTAACGCAGCCGCACTATTCGCAGCCTTTCGGACCACCTCCCGAACGTGTTCCCCCCATTTTCCATTCTGGTGCAATGTCACTCCTAGATATTTTACTTGTGTCTTGGGTGTTAGACATACCCCCGCACATTTTAATTCAACACCTTGCCTGTTCCTTGTCCCCTTCAGAATAATGGCTTCGGTTTTCTCTGTCGCAAGTTTTAGTCCGTGCTGCGTCATCCATTTCTTTACGACGCCACCTGCGTTCCGAACCCGGTATTTGAGATCTGGCTCATCCCGGGCTACTACCAGTACAGCGAGGTCATCCGCGAATGCGAAGGGGGTTGTACCCTCTCCGTATTCACAGTGCATAACCCCGTCATATGCCAGATTCCATAGCGTCGGGCCCAAGACAGATCCCTGGGGTACCCCGGCCGTCACGTCCACGATCGTGCCTTTTTCCACCATAATCCTTCTCTCGGACAGATACTCCGCCATAACATTCATCAGGTAACCAGGACATTCTCTCTCCTCCATTGCCTTCATTACCTCGTTCCACTGCAGCGTATTGAATGCATTCTTAACATCAAACAACAGCAGGGCCGCCCAGCGATGTTCATTCCCTCTGTTGTGCAATGTTTCGAGTACACTCATAATTGCATCAATCGTGCTTTTCCCTTTACAAAAACCAAATTGCCTCCGAGATAAACCACCTGACCTCTCAATCATCTCGTCTATGCGTACTCGTAGCATCCTTTCATAGAGCTTACTGATGCATGGAAGAAGACAGATGGGGCGATACTTTTCCCTACCTTTGGGAAGCAGTATTAACCTCGATGTCCTCCAAGGCTCAGGAAAGGTCTGTGCTTCCAGCAATGCATTCATGTGTTCCAGAAGCCACGTAGGCTTATAATATATTCCTATCGACGAATCTACGATTCCTTACTTTGGTCGTAATGGGTGCAAACAATTTATTCGCGGCAAACCAATAAGATTTGGCTATAAAGCATGGGTAATGGCTTTATCAAATGGATATTGCCTAAATTTTGACATATATCAAGGCCGAAAATTAGCTACTAGTGTTGATAAAAATTGTGGATTAGGAGAAAGTGTGGTCTTGAACTTTGCAGAGATTTTGCGAAATACATATAAAAATATAAAATTTTCCTTATATTTCGATAACTTTTTTACAAGCATGTCTTTGCTATCATCACTTGGAGAAATGGGATTTAGTGGCACTGGAACTGTACGCGAAAACAGAACAGAAAAGTGTCATTTAGATGATAAAATTATGATAAAAAAGCCAAGAGGGTATTATTGTAGCTCTTTTGAAGGGAGCGCTAAAATTGCGGCTGTAAAATGGAAAGATAATAATGTTGTCACTATATTATC